ACCTCGACAGTCAACGCTCGCCATATCACCTCCGAGACAAGAGTTCTCAAAAGCTAAGATCGATGCATTAGATAAATGAGGTTGTCACGAGATCAGCGCCAGCAGACTGGGTGGCTTGGCTCATTCCGCGAGATAGTCAAGAACAACATGAAAAGACATTCAAGTTCACGATACCTGAGACAAGAAGCGGTTTACAAAGTCGCTCGGCTTGAATCGATTCCATTCAGTAGCATCTCATTGCATGAGCTCGTTGTTGCACAAGGTGCACACCGGAAGCATTTGACACAGAAAACCTGCCTATCTCACCTCACAATACCAAGCATCAGCTCTGCGGGCTGGCTTTCATATCCTGTGTCTCCCATGCCCACTCGATTACGACATGCCTGCGTTGTAATAGACGTTTCCATCAAGATCACGACCCCAAGCGCAGAGCAAGGTTACCCGTCTTAAAACGCCTTGGTTCTTCAAAGAGACTAGCCCAACGATGATCCTCAGGGGCAATGGTGGTTTAACAATAGGTTCACCAGGATCACGCATGGATTGGCGGATATCAGCGTTATTGAATCGTGTCATAACGGGTCAACCGAGTTCGCAAGGGGGTGGTTGAAAATTTCAACGTTGGCACCAAATAGGGGTAAGTGATCGAGGCGAACACATATAAAGACCCCGAAATTGTCGGCCCAAGATCTTGAGGAATAATCGTCAACACTTACACAGCAAAACGAAGCATTGCGGCAATAAAGAAATGGGTATCGCCGACACTCTGACGAACGCAGATCAAGGTCGCGGGGCGTACGATACCACAGGCGTTCCGAAACCACCTCCCCGTCCAAAGCCGAGGTAGAAAACGACAAGGTCCGTTTCACGGAAGTCTTATGTTGACGCCTTCTAACAACGTAAATCACAGCCCAAGCTCACTTTTGGATACACGAGAGCAGATACGACATCGTAAGCGATAGTCTCAGGCCATACGGCGGTGGGTTGAGCCGCGACAGAGAAGAAGCTTGGGTTTGGAGTGTTGGTAACAAGCTTTGCAAAGACAACATAGAGAGAAATCCATCAATTATTTCCCTTACGTACAAAAAGCAGGCAATTGATAAATGCTACTTAGTGCCTGACTTCGCTGCGCGCCATCCTGAAAGTTAATCAGTCTGATCAGTCTTTTGGATTTGGTGCGTTTAAAAAACTTGTATTTCCCTCGGGCTTGCCCTTGAGCACTGGTTTCTCAGATGTGATGGAGCTTCACAGAGGATGGAACAACGCTTGCAGGGCCTGGAAAAGGGAAATGAAGTCACTCAATCAAGACTTTTGCGGTGCCGCCGTCAACATCCTTCTGAACAGTAGATAAGTCGATCTGGGTGGCCATCTAACATTCAATGGGTTAAACAAAACGAACAGCCTTCACCCCACCTGATATCGCACGATGGATGCAGTATACCAATACGAGAGATCTAATTGCGCACCAAGAGAAAATACCTCGCACCTCTCATTGGACCAAACCAAAGAACGCGTCCACCCTACATAGTATCAATCATCTCCCCTCTTGCGTGAGCTTCTGGTCTTCGTGGTCGCTGGAAAGCGGCAAGTGGGTCTAGCAAAACCGGTCCCATGCGTATACACCGAGGAAGAAGATGAAAAAGGCTGCAAGGTGGTCACAGCCGGCGCCATGTGAACCGGTTGCGCTGACGGGGATCGCCGCGGTCGTGTGCACCGTCGGTCGATGGTAGGTCCATGACGGTTGAACATCACCACCAGACGTCGCTGTAACAAGACTGATCGCGGTGCTGATGCTCGATGTATTGTGGTCGATAGTAGTGTTCCAGAATCTATGGGAGGATTCCAGCCTGTTGGGAAGTGCAG